ATTTATAACATGTTATTACATGTTATTTATAACATGTTTTTATAACATGTTATTTATAACATGTTATTTATAACATGTTATTACATGTTATTTATAACATGTTTTTATAACATGTTATTTATAACATGTTATTGATGACACGCTGTGACTCCATCAACTCTCATCGTGTTTTATTTTCTGTCAAACTGAGTCAGACTGCAGAACTCAAGCATCAAGTCATTCAAAGCTTCACTTACGGCTGGTGGATCAGACTAAACTTGCTGACGTCGTTTTCAGTCAGGTTCTGGAAAAAAAAAAGAAATAAAAAAAGATGACTTTGAGCAGAAAACTCCTCAGAACAGCAGCAGGTGGCAGCGTCTCACCGAGGAAACATTCAATGTTTTAAATATATTTCTGCTCCTAATGAATCTGTTCACACACAAAATAAAGACTGARATAAAACAACCAGACCTTTTTTAATCACGAAATGAAGAGATTAGATTAAACTGTTGATTTTTTTGTTTTCACCAGCTTTGATCTATTTAAACAGTGAACTGTAAAAATCCTTCCTGTGTTGTTTAAAAAAAATTAAATATGTAATTTTAATGTTTTATAATCTGATATTCTGATAGGTGTGAAAATCACTCAACATTTTGTATAAATGTGTTTAAAAAAGTTACATTTTGTGGTGAATTTTAGAGAAAGATGGAGCTGAAAGTTGGATTAATGGAGTCATCAAATAAATTCTAGACCATAAAATGCACAACTCAGATAGTTTTACACRCATTTTACACGTTATACACACATTTTACATGTTTTACACACATATTACAGATGTTTTATTTGCGCTTTTTTAACTGTACAGTATATGAAAAAAATCCAGCTTGATCAGGAATAATGTGTTTTACTTTCACACTTTTTGAATAATTTGACTTTATTTACAAAAAATCCCCTTAAAAACCCATTAGAATCTTTTCAATTAATCTTTAAAACGTTTCAACAAATCAKTTAGTTTTCTTATGCTAAATTTAGCTTTTAGCTTCTGGTTTGTTTATTTCAACTTTAACAATTCAATTATTCTGTTTTTTACAGGGAAGCACAGTGGAGCAGTGGTTGGAGCTGTGGCCTCACAGTAAGATGGTCACAGGTTCATCTCCCAMGYTTTCTGTCTGGAGTAACGKGTTCTCCCTGTGCACAGGTGGGTTTTCTCCAGGTACTCTGGTTTCCTCCCACAGATAAAAACATCAAGATACAATCTTTAGTGACTCTAAATTGTCNTGTATCTTTAGGTCAGTGTATCTTTTAGGTCAGTGTATCTTTTAGGTCATTGGATTTTCGTTTTAGAAACGGGTATTAAAAAACAAGAAACGAGTGGATATTTGATTTTTGTTTTAAAATACTGAAATTAAAATTAAAATACAAAGTGTTTCTCATTCTTAGAGTCAAAAAGGGATAAAGAAATGATTTGAGTTTGATTTTCTGTTTCAGATAGCAAAAAAGAAAATTACTTTTAGACAGAAATGAAAAAAGGCTCTTATTTTGCTGTTGCATTTCTTATTCTGACATGAACAATACTACCTACAGCCGTGAGGGGGCGCCATAGAATTGTAAATGTTTTTTTTTTTTTTTTTGTGCCAGTTTAAATAACTGAAGCATTAATAAATATAAGGAAAATGTAGAAAGACTGAACACAAACAAAATGCCACCAAAAAGAAAATCTTATTATGACTGTTTGACAATAGTTGGCAACACAAATCTGTAAGAACACTGCACAAAAATACAACCATTTTCTGTTGCAGTCTAATTAAATTCTGAGTTATGATCTGTGAGCTGTCACAGAAAAATGGCAACTTTTTTGTATGCATGCAAATCTGTTTTCTAGTTGCTGCACAATATTTCTTTGCCCATATCCACCCACAGCATACAAAGCATGAATGTCTCATTTGTCTTTCTGTGACCCTGTGATTGACTGGTGACACTTTTTTGAATTGCTGGATGTTGGGCCCCTCAGCTGTTGACCGGCAGTAACTGTGGCCTCCGGAGCAGTTTAGTTGAACAGCCCTGATCTAAAGGGATAAATCAGTGCCTTTAATTACATTCATACACTGATGGGACACACACACTGCCTCTAATGTGTGTCCCATCAGTGTATGAATGTAATTAAAAGCACTGATGGGACACACATTAGAGGCAGTGTGGGTTCAGTGTCTCACCCAGCGACACCTCAACATATGACTGAATAGCGGAAATCAAACTGGCAACTCTGGTCAGAGGACAATTCCCCTAACCACTCAGTCACAGCCATCCCAGAAAATTTGTAGTGCTGCTTTTTAAGAGGAGGCAGGGTATTTTGTGTTTTCCAGGCACATAGTTCAATTTTCTATCACAGTCAAGTAACTAGCTGTGTTTCCATTGACATGAAAATGCACAAATTAGAATTTCTAAAATAAATTTGCTCAATGGAAACACGTCAATTTCGGAAAAAAAAAAGTTTTTCGACAAAATGTTTTTGCGCTAGGATGAGGTGGTTTTTCAGTCGTATCTAAACTGGTGTTTTTCACAAAACTGCAATGGAAACA